GAGAGAGAAGGGAGGGGATGGTAATGGTGATGGTAGGTGGTGTAGACCTTTTATAAAATACTCTAAAAAAGTTATAAATTCTAAAAATAACCTAAAATACATTTTAAAAAATCCCTAAAAATACTCCTATTTATATCCGTTTGGATTAGCTGTTTTTGGGTGTTTTTGAAAAATTTTGCTGTAGCAGAGTTTTTAGATTATATTCTGGAATATTTTCAGAAAATATTTTGGGATATTTAAGAATAGAAGAGTTTTTAGAATATATTTTGAGATATTTTTTAAAATTTTTTTAAAAAATTAAACTAATTTTTAGATTACCTTTTACAGTACTTTTTAAAAAATTTTATTGTATTTGAAAAACTAGTTTTTGAAAAACACTCATAAATAATTTGCTATCCAAACACAAATTTAATCAATACTACAATATCTGAGGCGAGCAGCGGGTGCCAATCTGCTTGTTGCTTCAGTTGGATGTTTTCCAACACGGCACTGCCCTCGCTTGATTAACGACTGCACGAGATTTACATTAGTCCACATCAAAGTATGCATTAGAGTTGAAAACGACATATGGGTCTTGTTAACTTTGCATTTTGCAAGTAAGAATCCAGAGAAGGTAGAATCGAAAAATCAAAGAACAAAATGATTTCGAGGAATTCCTTAAAATCAAAGAACAAAACTCTCAGCAGCCTCGATAAAGAAACAACTACTATGAGTTTTGGCTCATTCTTGTGTTATCAAGGAATTACTTTGGAAAGAATTGGCAATGCTAGAGCCTAGAATGTTTAATGTCATACAATGCCTACCAAAAACATAAAAAAAAAAAAGAACAAATTTAAGGATTGTATCTTATCCTATCTTAAAATACATAATGCGTCAAGATTTGAGCTATAGTAAATTGTACCGGTTTCAATGTAATTCTCCAATTGATTTTGGACTTTTTTGTCTTTTTGCATCATAGGGGCCCACTCTGGAGCGGTTTGTTTGCCATTGCTGATTGCTCCCGTCCTCCTTTTTGATTTTGTGACTTTATTCCAATTATGACCTTTTGTGCTAGTGTCTTGGTAACTATCTTGGTAACTAGAAGGAACCGGGCTGTGCAAGTACAGCCTACGTCCATCTATAAAATTCATCACACTATAATTTACTTTCAAATAAAGAGCAATTATAATTGCTAAAAAATGAGTATAAAAAATAAAGTTTGTTTGTAGTGAAATGTTCCAAAAGTTTGCTCCAACTTGTTTATTATGATGCAATAGAGATTTATCTTACTATATTGTATGGACAAACAACATCAAAGAAATAAAAAACCACGCACATGAGACATGCAAAACCAGTTCAATATTAACATAAATGATATATGATTCACAAAACTCAAATATCATGCTACTATAATTACAAATGCATAAAATTTCACCATTATTTCTTTCTCAAACAAGTCACCATCATGTAAAAACATCCATCCTATAATTTCACAACAAAACTTGTCAGAAATTCGAATGGAAGGCTTTTCAACGCATAAAAAGGGTACAAAAATTCAGTATCAAAGAATTACTAAAGGAAGTGCAAGATTCAATTAAGCATTGAAAAGGAACTAAAACATCATAATTGCAAAATACAAAATTTTGCATTTAGATTTAAGACAAACCTCACAAAAGGAGAATCGACTTACAGAACCAAAATAATGGAAGGCTTAATCAATATTAAAGAGATCAAGTCAAAATAAATAAATACATCACGGTAATAGGATAAAGAGGCAAAAAAAAGGAAAAATGATAAAGGGTAAATAAAATATAGTTGATGAAAAAAAAACTTAAGTCCATATTTGGCAACATGAAACATGGGAAAAACAGGAATAAAAGAAAATGGAACATATCGGACAATAGGAGTAGTGGAGGGAAAAGGTATATTATCTATGTTTCTTCTAAAAGAAAGAGATGATCATGAATCATGATTTTTGAACTAAGGAACAAAAGAAATATCTGTTCTCATGTAAGAAAAACATACACTCAGTTAATTATAAAGGAAAAAGAAAAGATGCATCAATTGAGTGGAAGGAGGAAAGGCAAAGAAAAATTAGGATGAAGAAAAAGATGAAGGGAACAAGTAAAATACTGGATTAAAGAGCTAAAATTGATGGGAGAATAAGTGACAATATGAATTCATAGATTGTTGTGATACCGGTCCGTGGTTAACAATAATCACCTAAAATAATAGTAAAAAACCAATCTTAGTATAATTGATTATAAAGAAAGCATTTGAAGGGGAAAAAGGAAAGATGAAGAAGAAAAAGATAGAGATAAGAGTTGAAGACTTAGGAAGAAACAGAAAGAAGAGTAAACTTGGGAGAAGAGATGTTTATGATTTTTGACTAATCAAAGAAAATAATGGAGAAAAATTTCAACTAAAAATAAAAACTGCCACTTGTTAAAAGAAAAGACTATACATATGGCAAAAAGAGAAGTTGTTATAGTAACCTCTCTTTCAAATTTATTAATTCTATAAATTTGATTATAGATCGATGTTCTTGCAAATTTATGAATTCTATAAATTTGACATCTAGGCCTTTGTATTTTTCTTTTCTAATAAAGATATATATTAACAAAATTGAGTATGCATCTGTGCCCATTTGTATTAGTTTAAAGCCAAGTGTGCCGATTTGTATTAGTTTGAAAATAAATTAGAGTTTGCCTCAATTTGAAAAATGTCCATTAGTTGAATAATGTTTGTTAATCACTAAATTATTAATATAGAATTTTTTTCATTTTAAAATTGAGTAAGATAAAATAGGTCCGATGAATATGAAGCAATGATTATTTAGAACCTATGGAATAATGTTTGTTAACCAACAAAATATTAATATAGAATTTTTTTTTTATTTTTAAATTGAGCAATATAAAATAAGTCCCATCAATATGAAGCAATGATTATTTAATGCTTTTTTTACTACAGCAACTATGATTAAGGCCTACAATTTTCATCGAAAATTGATAAAGTGATAATAACCCTTATATATAAATTATTAATGTACTATCTCTTAGCTATCAAAATGGCTTCCTGTATAAATCAATAAGCTCTCAGAGATGCGTAATCATATGATCTTCGACCCAAAAAGAATGATTTTTCCACATTAATATTTGCACATAGCTCTTTACATCCTACTAACTTTAAGAAAAAATAATATCCATTCCATTAGTTTGAGTAATGTTCATTCATTAGTGAATTCAAGCCAAAAAATAAAATTCTTGAAAATCAATATTATTTTTCAAGTGTTCAAATCTATTAATTTTTAAAAAAATACAAATCCCATTAGTTATTAACAAAAGTGCAGTGTCCATCTGATTTTTTCAGCTGTATTTTCATATATTGTTTTCCAAATGAATGTATATATTACTAATTCAGTGTGTAACTAATGAATATAGAGCAAATTTTTGGATATTGTGTTTGTTCCAAAAACAAATTTTTTTTAGATTAATATTTTCTCATAACTCTTTGCATTCTATTAACTTTAAGAAAAAAAAAATCTATTCCATTAGTTTGAGATGTTCATTTGTTACTGAATTGAAGCAAAAAAAATTCATCGAAATCAATATTATAAATCTTTCAAGTGTTGAAATTCAATTAATTCTAAAAAAATACAAATCCCATTAATATGGGTGATGTTTGTTTACAAATGAATTGATGTGATATTGGCTAATTTAGAAAAAAGTTATTTAATTAATAAATACAGTTTTACCAATCTATAATATCGAGTTGTTGCAAATTATTAATTTATCTTATTAAACAAGAACCAAAGTATGTGAACGTTTCCAAAAATTGTGTGCTATTAATTTATCTTCCAAGAGCCTTTGCGTTCTTTTATGTTCTTTCCATAGGCTTTTGCGAAATATGGCTATATATTCTCTGGTCCTAATTATCCTAATTGTCATAATATCACCACACCACATAATTCTTACAAAAAAAATATATCACTCCTATATTCATTATTCGTTGGGTCATCCATCAGAGTTCTCGATCCTTATAATAAAAATGGAGAATAACCCAACGACCCAAATAAGGGTTGAGGCCTGAAGTGGGACCAGGCCCTTTTATTGGACAAAAAAAAAAACTATAGTTGGCTTACTTAATCTAATATGACTTGTTCAACCTTTCTTATGTGCCTCACATATCAAGATTTTATCTCCCTTGAACACAAAAAAGAAAAAAAAAACTTGCTCAAAATTTTTACATTACCCTAGTCCTTTTTATAAAAGTAATCATAAACACTAATTATTCATCACAAAATCGATTACTCTTAACCATGTGATTTCTTTTTTTTTTTCGTCTCTTGTAATTTTTTCAATTTCTCCCAACCAAATTAATTTTTTTGAGAAACCAAATTATTATTAGTACTATTATTATTTTGTTTATATAATATTATCAAAAAGAAACTTACCAAAGCAGTAAATCGTGACTATATCCAAACAAGCGCTCCACATGTACACCAACAACGGCTAGTAAATCAGTAATAAAATCCTACCACTTCCTAAAGGGCAAATGGCTTCCTAAACGAATCCTACCACTTCCTAAAAGGCAAATGGCTTCCTAAACGAAAGCCCACCAATCTAGACCGTCCAATCAAACCCATCCAACGGATACTATTCGAACTCAAAAATTTGACCGTTAAAGCCAACCCAAAGCAGAGTACTTCTCAAGCGTCGGTTCCCTGATTCCGTCCACCATCACCTCCTATTAAACCATGTCTTCTCAACTAAATGCCTCTCTTTCTCACCACATTTCTCAATAGATAAGAAAACCCAGAGATTTTTATTCAAGAAAGGAAGAATTTGAGAGAGAGAAAAAAGATTAAAGGAAAGGAAAGAATAGTGGCGACGTTAAACGAAGAAGGAGAGGCTCGTAACGGTCGTCTCCAGTTGTTTTTTTCATCAATATTGTCGAGTCTTGGAGGGGTTTTTGGACAGATTAATCTGCAAGAAGAAGAAGAAGAGGAAGAAGATTTAGATATGGCTTCAAGAGCTGGCCTTCAAGAGCAGCAACCCAGAGGTAGTAAAAAGATCACTTCTTTTTTCGCTGGTTTCTTTGAACTTTCACTTGTGTATTCATGGGTTTTATGTTTTGGGTCTTCTTTAATTGCTTTTCAAGAGACTTTTTGTGTTTCTGTGTTTGGTTTTTTAAGGGATTTTGTTGGTTTTGTTCATTGGTTTGAATAATTATAGGTTCTGTTTTTCTTGAACTTTTTCTTTTGTTCATTCTTCACCTTTTGTAGACGTCAATTTAGGAACTAATGAAGTTTCTGGGATATTATCTTCATGGGAATTTGAGGTTTTTGTAGGTACATTTCATTTTCGATTTATTCTCCATTTCTTTTTCGCATAAATTTTATTCTTGTATATTCTGGACTTGTCAATGACATCTTTATGGAGATAAATGGGATTTCTATTGTGGGTTCTGTTGGTATTCTGGAATATCAATTGATTCTGTTGTTTTTTACTATTCTCTTGTTAATTCTGAAATACGTTGAGTGTTGCTTATATTCTTTATTTAAGAAATTTTTCTTGGTTTGCTGAGATTTCCACATAATTGTCTCCGTGGCTTTTGACATTGATTTTGTGGTTAATTCTTGAATTATTTACATATTATCCCATTATGTGGTCTTTGTGTTTGTTGAATGATCCCCGGGATATTCTTGCTGTTCTGCAAGAGGTTTTGATAATATTCTTGCTGTTGATGATTTTGCTGTTCTGATATTTTTCTTCGAGAATTTCTTCTTTTTGTAAATTGCCTGGCCTTCTTGGATAAGTAATCTATGGCGTTTCTAGTTCTTTTCACTGTGGAACTTTTTGCTTGGTAGTATTTGTTTATTTTGTAAATTCTCTTCTATTATCAGATTATGCTCAAGTAATTTACAAATATTTGATGTATCAATCTTTTAGGGGTGGCAGCAGGAAAGCAGAAGAATTTACAACCAGAAGGAAGGAACCGCCGTGTGCTGAGAGATATCGCAATCTTGTGCCAGCTCCTGCTGTAGAGGGGAAGCCCCAGATTGCTCGAACCTATCACCAGGTGGATTTTGCGCGCTTCCTTGGCTACTTGTTTGAGTTATGTTTAAATTAGCTGCTTTTGTTTCGAAGTTAGTCTATAAAAGTTTGGCATTGAAAGAAATATCCTGTTGCAGGCGATATGGTGCACAGTTAGTGGTTAATGGACAAAAGCAAGCAGAGAAGAACAACAAGGTGGTAAGGAGTTGTTTCAGTAGCCTGGATATTCTTGTCTAAATTAGATTTTTGTTTGGCAAATATGTGCTGAAGTTGCTTTAAATATGCAGAAACCACTTGGGGAAGCAGCTGTAGCTCAGAAGAAAAACAAGGAGAAGCTGAAACCTGAAGCAGTAGTGGTTATCAGCTCTGATGATGAAGAAGTTAACTGCAAAGAGCAAATTCCCCGGTATGCAAGGAAGGTGGGAGCAGTGTCTGCAAAGAAGACTGCAGGAAAGACTTATACTTCAATTCTCACAGCTCGAAGCAAGGTTGTTTTCATTAAAAATACCAAGTGTATTTTCATTTATTGATTTGTCTGTTTATATCGTATTCATTAATATGCATGATATTGTTATTAGGCTGCTTGTGCACTTTCAAGAAAACCAGCGGAGGTGATAGTAGACATTGATGCAAATGACGTAAATAATGAATTGGCAGCAGTTGAGTATGTTGAGGATATGTACCAGTTCTACAAAGAAACAGAGGTATGTTCATTCAGCAGTGCTTTTTCCCTGTGTATTTAGAAAGATTTTCTGCGCTCATCTTACACATTATATTATTCTGAAGCAGGAGGATGGAAGAGTTTGTGACTACATAGGTGCACAGCCTGATATCAGTGCTAAAATGAGGGCTATTCTTGTGGATTGGTTGATAGAAGTTCACAGGAAATTTGAACTGATGCCAGAGAGTCTCTATCTGACAGTCAATATAGTCGACCGGTTTCTCTCAGTGAAGGCTGTTCCAAGAAAGGAGCTTCAGTTGGTTGGCATGGGTTCAATGCTTATTGCATGCAAGTATGAAGAAATTTGGGCGCCAGAGGTAGCATCTCTTTCTCCACAAACTGAATCTTTCAAGATTGAGCTTCAAGATTCAATTAAAGCTGCCTCAGTGTAGCTGACTCTTTCTGTACTTCACTTTTCAGGTCAATGATTTCATTGCTATATCAGACAATGCTTATGTGAGAGACCAGCTGCTTTTCATGGAGAAAGCAATTCTTGGAAAGCTCGAGTGGTATTTGACAGTTCCAACACCATACGTGTTTCTGGCTCGGTACATAAAGGCTTCTGTTCCATCTGACCCTGAGGTATTAATTTTAAGAGCAGCAATTTTTCTGCTTAGTAAAAAGTTGAATAAGCAGTTGATCAGTTATGACTATTCTCTGCGTAGATTGAGAATATGGTCTATTTCCTTGCTGAACTTGGCTTGGTGAACTATGAAACCACCATACACTACTGCCCATCAAAGCTTGCAGCCTCTGCAGTTTATGCTGCACGCTGCACTTTCAAGAAGACACCCTTATGGACTGAGACTTTAAAGCACTACACTGGCTACTCTGAAGATCAGATAATGTATCATTTCTTCTGATTCTTTTGTACCAAAATTCTGATGTTGTGACAACTGTTCTTGGTTCTAACTATTTTGGCTATGCTTTTCTACTTCGTTTTAGGGACTGCGCAAAGCTCTTGGTCAGCTTCCACTCAGGTGCAGCAGAAAACAAGCTCAAGGCATCTTACAGGAAGTATTGCAATCCAGATAGAGGGGCTGTTGCTCTGTACCCCGCAGCAAAAACTCTACCCCCACAAGAAGCATCTTGAATTTCTTCTAGGTGCAACCACCATATTTTAGTGGTTAATTTCGAGATCATTATTCTGCAATGATCCTCTCTCAAGCCTTTTGAACTGAAATCACCTTGTCTTGGTTTGATTTACTACTAGTAAAATCATTTGTATATCAGAAACGGCATTAGTTGATTCCATTTGATGACATGTGTTCTTCAATGCAAGTAGAAGAGTAATTTCAGTTTGAAATTTTGGATATCTTTTTCTGACAGCTGATGATTCCATTTTGGCTAAGTATCATATAACAATTTAGTAATCAAGAAATCCATGAGGATTAACTTTACCCAAATTTGACTGACTAAACAGGAAACATGGTGGTATATCTTACGTCAGACGCCTGATCAAATTGTTAAGTGTTTAGAGAGGTCTTGAATGCTTTTCTTCACAGTTGAGATTTCTCAACACTTGGCTGAACTCTGGGCAGCAATACGGTCTGGTTCCTCAGTGCCACAACCATACACAGTGTCATTAGTCAGGATGATCAATACAGCTACATAGATCAATATAGATCATTAGTCAGGATGATCCCAGGTCCTTTTGGTTTGGAACTGAGTTTGCTCCAAACCCTTTTTGGGGATGATCTAGAACTGATAGCTTTTGTTCAAGCATAATTAAGAGGATTCTTTAAACAGTTCAATTTTTCTCAAGTGCTTGGCTAAACTAGGCAAGAAGAGGTCCACTTTCTGAATAATCAGATCAGACTCAGGATTATCCTAGGTTTGCAAGTGAGTTAGCTCAAACCCTCATCCCATTTATAACTGATAAACAACAAAATTATTTTATACCCTTTTCCAATCAAACTTCAAAGGTCCCCAGAGCCTTTAACTCTGCATGGCTACAATTGAAGTGCCCTTTAAAAACCTAAACTCATAGATTTTAGTAAAAAGTTTAACTCTTTCATCTTTTATATTATCTTTTATGGTAAAATTTGTCTAACAACTAGCTGGAGTACTCCTTAACTAGCATTAGGAGTCAGTCTTTTAAAAAAGTAAATTTACAATTGGAAGTGACTGTAAATCTGTAATGGGGCAATAAATTTGAGTGTATGTATTTTTATTTACTTGGGCCTTTGGCACACAATATAACTTTTTGTTAAAAAATTCCCCCCCCCCCCCCCTCTCTCCTTTTTAAGGACAGCATCAATAATTTGTAAAATGGAAGCTAGAGGCCACTAGACTTACTAAAATTTTCATTCAAGCATGTTTCACTATAATAGTAGGAATAAATGGCTCAACTCAATGCTGATTGAACTAAGTCAAGATTGAGTAGCTTATGTAACAGTTCAAATGCAAAAATACTCTTTGACTCGAAAGTAGGGATGGCAACTGGGGGGGGGTCGGCTCCCCCCGGCTCTCGTCACCCGCTTCCCCGCCCTGCACCTGCGGGGGAAAAGTTTAGAATTAATAAAAATATATTATTAGTAAAAAATATAATCAGTAATTTAGTATAAATATATAATTAGTAAAAAGTATCTAATAGAATAAATGTAAATTAGTAAAAATTGTAATTAGTAATTTAGTATAAATATATTAGTATAATTAATCAATAATTTGTATTAATATAAATATATAATTATTAGTATAACTAATAATATTAATTATATTACATATGCATAATTTGATAGTTATAACTAATAATATTGAATATGTTATGTATATAATTAATATATATATTATTTTATTTAAACGGAGGGACGAGGTGAAGGATGGGGTGGGAGTATAGTCCCCCGTCCCCCGCCCTGTTTTTTAACTGGGGGAGCACTTTACCCCCAGCCCCTCCCTACCCCTGCGGGTACCTGTCCCAATTGTCATCTCTATTCAAAAGCTTACCGACCCTAATATCGAGTATATATATTTATTTTATTTATATATTTATTAGGGTGAAATATCCATATTATCCATTTAAAAAATATTATGCTTAATATTTTTTTTCCCAATTAGGCTCGAGTTCAAGTTCCAGTTCGAAGACGAGTTGCCCATTAGGTGCTTGATTTAGTTCGAGCATGATAAATTCAATTTGAGCTCGGCTAGCCAAAATTGAACTCATTTGCAACCCCAGTAATTATACTATTGGTTGTAACCTTAGGAACTTAACTAATCAAGTAATTTCTGCATTCCCACAAATTTTCGACTTTGTAACATGTGGAAGTCCACTTCAGCACTAATCAAAATAGCAAAGGTGAAAAAGGATTACGCAGTTTGCTTAACCATTTTAGTTCTTGATCTTCAAGTTTCCACCCCTTTTAAAAGTACTACTGCTCAAGCTATTGGAAATGTTCCCTTTTTTTTGCTTTCTGATAGTCTAGAATTTGATTCTTGAAGTTCTGAAGTAGAACTAGTCAAGATTGTAATTCTGATGGAGGAAAAGAACAAGGCAAAAGTTTTGGACAAGAAAGTCCCGAAGCATGTGAGGGAAATTCAAGAAAAGCTGCAAAATGAAGGAGATTGAAGAAAGAAAGAAAAGGGAGAGGAGGAGAAGTTGAAGAAAGAAGAAGAGGAGAGGCTGAGACAGGAGGAATTGGAAAGAATTGAAGAAGAAAAGAAGAGGCTAAAGAAGGAGAGGAAAAAGGAGAAAATGTTGAAGAAGAAACAGGAAGGGAAGTTGTTAACAAGAAAGCAGAAAGAAGAAGCTCGAGATTGGAATCAATGAGGAATCAGTTTCTTGCCAATGCTGATGAGGGCCCTTGCTTTCGTCTGAAGGGAATGCAAAAAGGCCCGTGTGTCAAACCAAAAACCCGAAGCCGAAAATTTCTAGCTTAGAAAATCAGGATACTGAAGCTATGAAGGAGAACGAAGATGAAGATGATCAAGATCAAAAATCGGATGCCAAAAGTTGGGATGATTTTGAACTTGATGGTACACAGGATGCAAAAAGGCCTGTGTATCAAACCAAAAACCCAAAGCCAAAATTTCTAGCTCAGAAAATCAGGATACTGAAGTTGAGAAGGAGAATGCAGATGAAGGTGATCAAGATCAAGAATGGGATGCCAAAAATTGGGATGATTTTGACTTGATGGTGTAGAGCATGATGCCAAGCCTGAGGCTGAGGGTGTAGAGGAATTTGGGCCGCGAGCAAATTCTGTTGAAGAGGAAGCTCCGAGTCAAATTCTCTGCTGCCTGTCCCCTGCAGCCAGGATGTAAGTAATGGCCTTCGGTCGCCTATTTGTTGCATTCTGGGGCATGTGGATAGTGGAAAGACCAAGTTACTTGACTGCATCCGGAGTACTAAAGTTCAAGAAGGAAGTGGGGGTATTACTCAACAAATTGGTGCAACATTCTTCCCAGTCCAGAATATTCGCAAGAACCAAGGAATTAAAAGCTGATGCAAAGCTGAATGTGCCCGGTTTGTGGTTATTGACACTCCTGGACATGAGTCTTTTGCCAATTTGAGGTCTCGTGGATCAGGTCTATGTGACATTGCAATCCTGGTTGTGGATATTATGCATGGGTTGGAGCCACTGACTATCGAATCACTGAGCCTTTTGAAGATGAGGGGCACAGAATTTATTGTGGCCCTGAACAAGGTGGACAGATTGTATGGATGGAAAATTTGCCCCAATGCACCTATTTTGAAGGCAATGAAGCAACAGTCTAAAGATGTTCACATTGAATTTGGGAATAGGCTGAATCAGGTTATCGCACAATTCAAGGAGCAAGGATTGAACACTGAATTGTACTATAAGAACAAAGAGATGGGGGAGACTTTCAGCATTGTGCCTACTAGTGCAATTACTGGTGAAGGGATCCCTGACTTGTTACTGTTATTGGTGTAATGGGCTCAAAAGACAATGATTGAGAAGCTTACTTATCAGAACCAGGTTCAGGGTATTATTTTAGAGGTAAAGGTTGTCGAAGGATATGGAACAACCATTGATGTGGTCTTGGTTAATGGTGTCCTTCGTGAAGGGGATCGAATAGTTGTTTGTGGCATGAAAGGTCCTATACTTACCAATATTCGAGCCATACTGACACCGCATCCGATGAAAGAGCTCCGGGTGAAGGGAGTTTTTGTGCATCACAAAGAAATCAAGGCTGCTCAGGGTATTAAGATTGCTGCACAGGGTCTTAAACATGCTATTGCTGGCACTGAGATGCATGTTCTGGGGCCAGATGATGATTTAGAATATGTATGGAAGCAGCATGGAGGATATGAGATATGTCATGAACAGGATTGGTACCAGTAGTGTGGGAGTGCATGTTCAAGCTTCTACTCTTGGATCACTGGAAGCACTGCTGGAATTCTTGAAGACTCCAGGAGTGAATGTACCTGTATCGAATATAGGCGTGGGTCCTGTACATGAGAGATATGTCAGGAAGGTAGTGTCATGATAGAGAGGAAAAAAGAGTATGCTACAGTCTTGGCTTTGATGTTGTGGTCAAGCCAAAGGTTCAGGAACTTGCTCAAAAACTTGGGGTCAAGATATTGCGTGGGGATATTATCTATCACTTGGTTGATCAGTTTAAGGCCATTACAGGCTGTCTCAATGAGGAGAAGAAGAAGGCAGATGCTGATGATGCAATATTCCCTTGTCGTCTTAAACCTGTACCGAAGTATGTGTTCAACAAGAAAGATCCATTGTACTGGGGGTGGAAGTTGTTGAAGGTACTGTGAAGGTTGGAACTCCAATATGTGTTGCAGGAAAGGAGCTTACTGATATTGGTCGGATTGCATCCATTGAGAACAACAAAAAACCAGTCGACTGTGCCAAGGAAGGCCAAATGGTGGCCATTAAGATAGTTGGCAGTAATCCTGGGAGCGACAGAAAATGCTTGGAAGGCATTTTGAGATTGAAGATGAGCTTGTCAGCCATATCTCAAGGAGGTCAATCGATATCCTAAAAGCCAACTATAGGGAAAGTATGTCTTCAAAAGATTGGTGCTTGGTTAAAAAGCTGAAAATTCTTTTCAAGATAAAATGAGTCGCTTATCAGAGCAAATTCTTCTCTTTCTTTTTGGTCTCCGTAGGAAGTAAAAATTTGGTCTAAGGTTATGCAAAGCTCTTGCTTAGCTTCAACTCTGGCGCTGCAGAAAACAGGTGAAGGCTCTGTATTCCCCATCCAGATGATGGAGCTGTTGCTAACAGCCATATTTTGGCATGGTGCATTTGATTTGATATCATCATTTTGCAGTAATTTTTGCATTTTGTCCACCATGTTTCTATGGCACGAAGGACCTTTTGTACTAGTTTGATTTACTGCAGCATATCATTTGCAAATTGCAATCGGATTACTCATTTGTTTCCACCTTTTTTTTTTTTGCGACGTTAGTAAAAGAGTGATTCACTTACAAATTTGAACGCTATTGTTTCATTACAGATCTTCACCTGCAATTATTTTCCTTCAAGTTTCAGTGTTGTATGCTTAGTCCATTTGTTTCAATCAAAATATTCCGTAGCTACCTCTAAAACTTGATATGTTACGGATACATCAAACTGAAATGGCTTTCTTTAAAAAAGAAACCACATTATTTTTTCAGCAATTCTGAAGGCATATCCACCCAAGGAAAGCATGAAGGTCTATTATTATAATCCCAAACGTTATCTGATCCTTTAATATTACAACGACCGTCGAGCCATAAGCTGAAGAATTTAGAGAGCATGAATACGCGCAAGTTTATTTATTCTTGGAGGCTCAATCATCTTATTGTCAAGAAGTTGCTTGATATTCAGAAGCATGCTCAATCTTTCTGAACCTTGGATAGACTAGGAAAGGTTCTGTCTGTTCAGACCCTTCTTCATTGCGACAAGAATCTGCTGCTTCATCATTTACCTTCACCTTTTCCCCGCAGCATCCCCGTTCTCATGCTCCTCCACTTCGAGTTTTCCACTGCGGTACACTCTGTTCTTGGCTTTCTCATCCTTACCAAGTTCCAACCTCTGCAAAAACTCCGAGTTTTCCTTCCAGACCTCTCCATTAGTATAAACTTCCTTCTTCCATATTGGAACAGATGCTTTGATTTCATCAATCAGAAATTTACAAGCATCCAGTGCATCTGCACGATGAGCAGAGGAGATTGCAACAAAAACGCTGGTTTCCCCTACTGGGACAGTACCCAAGCGATGAGCAGCTGCAATTGAATGGACATTCCATTTTGATCGGGCAGATGAACAAATTGATTTAATGCAGCGTATGCCATGGTGGCATATGCTTCATATCTAAGTTCCAAGACAGTCTTGCCATCAAAGTTGTCACGTGTTGTGCCAGCAAAAGTTGCTATTGCACCACATTGTGGTGAATGAACAAAACTAATGTATTTGCTGATATCAATAGGATGATTCTCTTCCAGAATTTCAATGAGGTTTCTATCTTCAGCAGCCATTGCTTTTCCGGCTTTTGCTTTACTGCAAGCACGTATTCAGCCTTATTCTGATATTTTTACCTGTGGAAAGATACTTGAATGGTGTAAATATTAATGTAGAACCCAAATCTTAGGATTTCCCATTCTGCTTATATATCAGAAAGTTAAAATAAGTGGCCATGTAAGCTAGAAGTAAGGAACCAAGAAAAATTTAGTGGATACAAAATCAAAGTTTGTTCAACTCTCACTATTGAAAAGGCAGTTCAGTGCACAATACAAATTCAACCTAATGCATTTTGATGAAGTAGCCAACAAGATTAGCAATAATGAAAAGATGTCGATAATTAAGCATTAGAGAAAACAAATTTACCCAGATTTTTATGTTTGACTTGTACTACCATAAGTCTGCATAAGAATCTCTTACATTGAATGTTATTGAAAGAATATTGAACTCTTGAACTATCTAGAAGACTAAATGCAAATGACAATTTGTGAAACCTTCTGCAATGAACTTCAATGAGGCGATTCTGCAGAATTCAGAACTGAGTTGAATGATATGCAGGAAAATAATCTAAGCTCAAGTATCATTTTCAAGATCTACCAGGCTTAGTTCTAGTTATGGTTAAGGTAGCAAGGCTCAACAACTCCATCAATTGCTCAATAACATCAAATTTCAGAAATTTCTCAGTTGACTCTAGAGTAGTCTTATGTTGGATTTTCTCCTACAGTCACAACCTAGATTTTCTATATTGGGAAATATTTTGGTTTCCCAATACATTATCAGCAGTCAACTAAATAAAACACACAAACTTCCTAAATTTAAAACTAAAAAAGGTTCAGCTTCTAGCTGTGAAAATTTGACTCAAGGAGATATATGCTTGGGAAATCATAAAATCCTAACAAAAAGCTATCATGCGTCTAAAGAAAAGGAGCAACAACACACACACACACACTATTAAATGGGGGCCTCACACATGCCCAGCTGTAGGGTTATTTGTTTAGTTAGTGTTTATGTTGATTAGAGCTTTCGCTATTGATTTATTTAATGATACATTGGTTGCTAAATTAAGAGTATATGTGAAGTATTTTAATATGTAGACTGATACGTATTCTAACTTTTCCAACACAAGAGAGCTCGATTGTAGTATTCTAGGAGTAAAAGTTTGACTTGTAACCTTAAGCAACATTTTCAAGGATCATATATCAGTGAGGCACTAAGTAATAAATAAGAGCAAGCGAGAGAGCATCCTGAAATGTGCTGGTTTTTAAGGCAAAGCCACCACTTATTAGTTAACAGTAGAATCTCAAACAGTGGCTAATAAAAAGAACATTAATACTCCACACTATATCTGTAAGCTCAGTGAGGAAAGGACAACTCAATTCAGGAAACAGAAACAGTACACCAAATTCAATAACATGGTTACTTTCATCTTGAACACATTGAATTACATACCAAGAGTGCAGTTCTTTCTTTTTTTAACATGCAGGATGCCCAATTGTCCAGCTTTCTGGCAAAATTAAGATTTTTAATCTTGCAAGTGTGATAGTACAGTTATAGGAATGCTAAAGTATATTGACCTGGTGGATTATACAATATGATAAGAGTAAATGAGATATCACACCATCTCCTCCAGGATACCAGCTGAGGAATTTTGGGAGTGATTCTCACTTTATCTTGCAAAAATGATAAATTAGACCTGCAAATAGTTCTCATAAGCTGGCAAATCAAAATGCCCATGACAATTACGTTGGTCTCTCCAATCTTCTCTACATCTAAGTACTTCCCTGATGATGGCGCCAGTATCAACTCCTCAGCCTAGCAAATTGTATAGCCGCGTGCAAAATTTAAAGGAAAACCTTAAATTTACATCTTAACTTACATTTGTGAAATTGTTAAGTTAGTTACTTCTTCAAGTTGAATCCCCATGACTTTAAAATAATTCCTAAACAATTCCCTATCAAGATTGCAATAGAAAATCACAAGAACCCCCAAAAGGGACATTAAAAGACATCCCAGAAAGCCACTGCACAATCTGCAGTCCATCTTTATTCTCAAAGAACTCCTCAAAATCTCATATCTTGTAAAATTCCCAAAACCACAACCAGTTATCCAGCAAACCATTTTTCGCATTAAATTTGTGATTTTGATGAAGCCCTTATGATCCAATCAGCAAAAAATGTTCATGAGCATAATTGTATTAGTACAGGCTGAGCCTTTTGCCTACCACATAATCAAATATTTTAGAGTTCTTGATCAGAATTTCAAGTAAACAACTTAGTTTCAATAATTGGAATTAGTAAATGCCGCCGAAAACGAGTTTAAAAGGTAGAGTTTCTGACCTTAAATGATTGGAGGAGAAGAGTGAAGGCTCCTCTGCTCTCTCAGTCTATCATTTGACTGCCAACTATGGTCGTTTTCATGTTTGGCTGGAAACGGGTCTATTATTATCCTTGAGAATAATAGATATTTTCCGGTCGGGGGGCCTGTTCCAACGAGGATCCGGTTTCCAATATGCCACTTTTTTTTTCCTTTTTAAATTTTAGTTTTTTTTTATTTCGTGCCAAGAAATTTGTTTGAATGAAAGATTATTTTTTTTTATCAATTGAATGAAAGATTATTTGGAATGTAATGTATGCAAAACAAAAATATTATAAAAAAACCTGTCTGTAACGCAATCAAAAAATCCTTATCCTTATACTATATAAGAACGAGTTTAGAATTAGATTTCAACAGCAGGGGTGAGGCTATTTTGAGAATGTGAGAGTGTTTGAAGAATAATTAGAACATTGAGTACAAGTCATTATAGCTTTAATTTCACTATAATTACTTATATAACCTTTCAGACATTTAAGGTTAGGGGCAGGTTTGGTATGTTATAATGTTTAGTGTCAAGTTGAGTATCAAGTACAACTGAATAAAGCTTGTATTTTGATAGAATTACATAAAAGTCCTTTTAATCATTTATTATACTAACATCCAAGCCTTCCAATTTCCTAAATCTTTTTCATCCATTAAGGAATTAATTGAATGTTTACATAATTGGATTTTAATTATAATTAATTAACTTAATTATTATCTGAACAATCATTATCAAATTTATGTCCCCATGTTTAGCCGATACCCTTTTTCTTTTTCGATTTCACCTCTTTGATTTTATTATGGCTATTAAATATTTGGTGGAATGCATAATTTTTCCTTTAAATATAAGAACGAGTTTAGAACTAGATTTCAACCGCAGGGGTGAGGCTATTTTGGGAATGCGAGAGTGTTTGAAAAGTAATTGGAACATTGAGTACAAGTCATTATAACTTTAATTTCACTATAATTACTTATATAACCTTTCAGACATTTAAAGTTAGGGGCAGGTTTGGTATGTTACAATGTTTGGTATCAAATTGAGTATCAAGTACAACTGAATAAAGCTTGTATTGTATTTTGATAGAATTACATAAAAGTCCTTTTAATCATTTATTATACTAACATCCAAACTTTCCAATTTCCTGAAACCTTTCTCATCCGTTAAGGAATTAATTGGATGTTTACATAATTGGATTTTAATTACAATTAATTAACTTAATTATTATCTGAACAATTATTATCATATTTATGCCCCCATGTTTAGCCGATACCTTTCTTCTTTTTCGGTTTCACCTCTTTGATTTTATTATGACTATTAAATATTTGATGGAATACATAGTTTTTCCTTTAAATTGAGGTAAGTTTTTTGGGTTTGTTTTCTTCTATTGTAGTTTTTTTTTTTCTGATGATTAGTTTATTCTAAAATTCCATATAATTTGCCTTTTGATACTTCTAATTTCAAAAATTGACTAATTATATTGT